TGGGGAGCCCCAGCCTCAAGCCCCCTGCCCTGCACGGCCCCTGCCCCGCAGAACCGTCTGTGCCTCACAGCTCTCGGGGTCCCCCCAGGGCCCTGACCGGGGGGTCCTGGGGCTTGGAGGAGTCGAAGCAGCCCAAGGTCAGGCGGGACCGCGCTGACGGTCGGGCCTGCCCGTCGAGGGGCCCAGGCCCGACGCCTTCAGCCCCGGGCTCCCTCCCCATCCCGACCAATTCTCTGTAAACATCGAAAAGGAACTGGTCAGGGAAACAAAACCCATCACGAAGAGGAGCCTTTCCCTGGACTTTCTGAGCCTTTCAACCAACCCACAGGATCGGCCAAGCGGGCCCACGTAGAGGGACGGAAGCCGGGGTCATCTCCGGGGGAAGGGAAACTCAGCCTCCCTCTTTAGGATTTTTTACCAAAAAAGGGGCTTTCACCCCATTTTCTCGGCCGCTTAGGCTGCCGTGGGGTGTGCGGGGGATGCGCAGGGACGTGCGGAGCCTCCGCGGGATCCTGCCCGGCTCAGCTCTGTAATCCGTGAGCAAGACGGGCCACGGGAGTCACCCGCGGGTTCCCTCGGTGAGCGCAGCCCACGAGGGGACGTGTCCCAGCGCTCGTCGGGGTGGGGGCCCGGGTGTCCGGCCAGTTCCCCCAGCCCTGGGCTCCCCTGCGCCTCCGCGCTCCAGCACTCCTCGCGGGTCCCCGTCCCGCGAGGGGGAACCCGCAACCAGTGCCCCGAAAAGCCAGGGAACAGCCCCGGGGTGGCTTCGCACCCGGCGGCAGATGCGAGGGCCCGGCTGCGGGGACCCCCGGGCCGGTAATTTGGATTAAATGTTGAGGAAGGGGTGGGTGGAGTAGTTCAGGGAACCATGGAGAACACGAGGCCGCTCTGCTGCTCCTGTCAGCGCTACTTGAGTCCTGCTGCCGTCCCACCGCACTACTCACCCCCGCATGCGACAACAACAACGCGTTAATTTACACTCTGTGCTTCCACTGCCTTCCCACATAACCTGTTCCATATGGTTACTGCCACTTGCACCGAGCAGCTTCGCGAGGGTTTTTCTGTTTTCCCCACGTTTCTTGGGTTCAATATTATGCCCCTCGCTCAGTGAAACACTGACGGGCTGAGCTCCCCCTTAGCGCCCCCGCTGCTCCCTCCTGTTAGGGGGTTGTCACCTATTCGGACATCACCGCGGTGTTTGGACCGCCAACGAGTTCATGGCACACGCCAAAGCCGTGGCCGTGACCGGGAGCCGAGCCCGCCCAGATGCTGCATGGCCCCGGGGCCGGGCGCCTCCATCCCTCCATCCCTGCATCCTTCCCCCACTTCCCCCAATCCCTCCTGGGAATCTCTGGGCAGCGGTGTCCCTGTGCGCACCTGCGCTCCAGGGAGACCCCGACCGAGACCAGCGGGGCCCCGAAAATAATTAAAAAAAAAAAATCCCAAATTGAAACCCTGCCCGTTTTTCCTGACGTGGCTTTTCGTCCGCCTAGCTTTTGTCCATCTGCTCCGCTTAGATCACAAGGTGTTTCCACGCCAAGGTGCTGATTTCTTAGGGCCGAGGCTAAAGAGGCCGTTGGAGCTATTATGATAGAATAATTATGAGTAAAGTGAGAAGAATTTTGGCCACATTCAAGCGAGCAGACAAATCCACATCGGATTGTTTAAACTACCTCACCTCCGAGACCAGCGCACTCGTAAACAAACAGTGCCCGTAAAAGAAATTACCCACACCCCCTTGAGTTTTTTGTTTCTTTAAAATAAATCAAAACTCGTGAATAATGGTAAATATTAACACTCCCGTCCCCATCTCGGAGCAGATTAGGATCAGTGCGGTGCAGACACGGTATCATTTCCCATCATACGGTATTATTTTTGGTATTTTAAATTTTTATATTCCTTGTGATCCATCTGCCCCGAGGCTGCTCATGCTCCGATTCCACATCCGCCGCGGGAACAGGCCTATAGCCCCCGAGTTCACTAAAAAATAAAATAAAATAAAATAAAAATAACATTTCTGTGAACGCTCCTATTGAAATATTTTGATGATGCGCTGAAGAAAGAAAAGATGAACTTCACCGTCCGGTCGCTTTCACAGTCAGTAATCTAAAATCGTTGCAAAACAAATCCTGTAGCGGAAAGTTATTATTATTATTATTATTATTATTACTATTCCTATTCCTATTACTATTTTATTATTATTATTACAGCGGCTGAAAATCGTGTAACTCCCCGTGCTCTTACAGAGCACCTAAACCCGCACTTTTATTTCACATCGATCTAGGCAGATTCACGTTTATTAACAGCAGCGTTTCAGAGTGGGAGCTCGGCAAAATCCGTGGGGTTTTAGGGGGCAACTGCACGAACGAGATGCAGGCCCCAAATTCATGCACTCTCTATTCCCCCTCCCCTCCCCAGATACTAGAATGGAATCACCTTTCTCTGCAAAATTGTTCCTCATTTGCCGAGGATTTTTTGGGGGGGTTGTTTTTGTGTGTGTGTGTGTGTTTGGTTGGCTTTTTGGTCTTTGTCTTGTTTTGTTGTTTTGGGGTTTCGTTGTTTGTTTGGGTTGGGTTGGGTTGTTTTGCTGAATTTTTTTTCCCTTGCACCGGGGACAGACTTTATATAACTGTTAGACAGACTATTTCTGGAGTTGGGTTTTCTGAAAAATAATTTTATACAAACGTCCATAACTAGATTCAGAAACTATCGATACTAGTTTCAGAACTAGTTTCAGAAACTATCGATACGTAACCAATTTCAGAAACGAACTCCCGTTAGGAGACTGTTGTAATCCTCGTTTTGTATAAAAGTGGAACGCATTTTTTAAGGCTCCTTTCGCTGACTTTCACGCTTCAGATGTCTTGATGTCTGTTTTGGCTGGGCAACTCAGACAAGGGTGACAGTTCCACCGGTGAAAACTTTGCAATGAAGAAAGAAACAATTCGTCCATTGATTTAAAACTCTTCCCGGGGGTGGGAATATTTTTACTCCGCTGATTGATTCCCGATTTGACGGGAAGAAGAGTTTTCCTGAATTTTCGCTCATCACCGGCCCCTCCGTTAAGTTCTCGCAGTTCTCCCGACTCCCAACAAACCGCAACTCGGAAAACAGCGATATTCAAACTCTTCGCCTCCTGGATCCCTCGGGAATTATCCCAGCCGGGGAAAAATATTTTTAATAACAAGCTGCAGACCCCACCCGGGGGTCCGGGACCGTAGGGGGCTCCCTGCGAGTGCCAGGCACGGCTTAATAAGGGCTCTGTCATCGAAGTCTCGGCTCTCCCCGGAGCAGAGGGGGCCGCGGTGCCCGCTCCCATCCCCATCTGTCGAGGGGGGTCCGCTCCGCAACGCTGCTTCGATTAACTAATAACTGGCGGGAGGGTTTCGTATCAAAGCTCTCGAAAAGCATTTTAAACACAACCAATTCGTTGTTTTCTCCACATCACCCCCCTCCTCCCCCCCCCCCCCCCCCCCCCCCCCCCCCCCCCCCCCCCCCCCACACACACACTCCTCGCACTCGGCGAAGCCCCACGCAGGGGGACCCGGTGCCCGGAGCTCGCTGGGGGTCCCGGGGTGGGGGGCTCTGCCCGTCCCCTGTGCAGGACAGTGCAGGGGACCCTGATGCCAGGTGGGAACATCCCCCCGCTCCTCAGCCCCTGCCCTTCCCACGGGTGTCCGAGCAGGGGAGTCAGTCCCAGCGACCTCCCCCTCCTCGCGGCACTTAATATTCAGGAAATCCACAAAGTGGTACGGAGAGAGTGGAAAACGTGACATCACGGGCTAATTGGGAAGGAGCGTAAGGGCTGAGCGAGGGAATAGCTCAGCCCTGAGTAACACGTTACGTTTAATGGCCGGGTAAAGCTTCGGCGGCAGCATTTAAACACGCGTCCCTCTAAAAATGGTTTTCTGCCAACACCTGGCCTCGTCGGACTGTCTGACCGTGGAATTAGCTTGGAAAGTCCCTTTTAGAGGATGCGGCTTGGTTTGAGCGAGGGCTGCAGCCCCTTCATTTCGCTGCCACACGGGGTCCATCACCCGTCCTCCTCTCTGCTGCACCCACCCCGACAGCTCTCGCAGACTGCGTGTCCCCATCTCACACACAGCCTTTTCCCTGGCATCCTTATTTTTGCAGAGCACCAAAACAGCGCAAACAGTGATTAAGAAACGCTGAGAAAGCCCTCCTACATCTCTCTCTTTTTTTTTTTTTCGTCTAGGATTTTAAAATTTCATTTATTTAACTAGTTCACAGAAAAGGGATGCAACGCTTGGAAATAAAAGCCAGCGACCAGCCACAAACGTGTTTAGATTTCAGGCCAGGCAGTATTTTCGGTGACAGCCTCTCTGTGAATTGATTCCTAGTCCTGAAGGTTCAGAGCTCCTTCACCGGCACTGCCAGAAGCACGGTGGCCGCCCCTAAAAGCGAAGTCCCAGCTAACAGATGGGTGCAATTACACTTTCCCTCGTTGACAGCATGTACAGCCATCTTTCTCCACCCTGAGCTGCTGTGGAAAAGCGGTGTGATGGTGTGCCCAGGGCTTGGACTGCAGTCAGTGCTCAGCTCCAATCCCCCGAAAAAAACCCGACCTGGCTACAACCCCAAGGCCGTGGAGCTGCACAGGTGGAACTGCAGGTGACGTAAGTTTTGCAAATGACAGTCAGGATAAGTATACAAGGGCAAGTTAAACGTTGGTGCATTATTTCAGCAAATAATTACACTCAATTGCATTCATTCCTAGGTGTTAACCGAGTTTTCAGGCAGAAAACAATGAGTTGTCCTTATCACTCTTGTATTGGCTGAAATCCAACCAACCCCTGCAGCTGTCCCGAAACTGAGGATGCCTTAACGATCCCGCATTAGCCCCGTGCTGTAAACACTCGGGGGTATGCTGAGGTTATTCACTGTACTCACTGGAACGGGACTGTTTATGGTTCATAAAATTAAATTAATGGCTACATCTGTGCAGAGCTGGGGCCTTCGGGGTTTAAAAGCGAAGAAACGGAACGAAATCCTCACACTCTTCAGTTTTATGGTTAGCCTCCAGTCAGTTTTGGTTCCCACTTCTGGAGTGCTTCGTCAGATCTGGATGATTTGGGTTTATGGATCAGCAGGGAGATGTTTAAATCACTGAACACAATAATGGCTAATTGAAACATTTTATTTAAAAAAATAACAAGATGTTTTGTACATATTAAAAATCATATTAAAGCTGGCTTCCCAGTCCCTCACAAGCACCACTACAGCTAGTTAAACCCCCCAAGTTAAAGAGGCAATTACATAAAATAGCTCTCCTTAAAGGCCAAACAATATAAAACAATTATGTGATGAAGGGTTCCTTTCTGCTAGTTTGTTCTTGAACAACCTTTTGATTCATGTGTGTATCTCATTTTAAAATATGGGTACAAAACCATTAAAATGCCCCTCCAACAGGGATTAGGACCAGAACCTCTCCTCATTCCTGCAGAAATGAATGGCCCTGGAACAGGAGAAATGGTTGCAGCTCAGCCTCACCAAAACAAATCACACCAAACAAAAATATGGTCCAGAAGTGAATAACCCACTGTCTGAAATCTCCTAAATGGCTTCTATTTTTAGAAGCTCCCCTTTGCACTGCAGCCTGCTGCAGATATTCCACCTGACAGGCCAGCTGACCTGCTGTGGCTGAAACCACGGCAGCACAGAATACACTTCTTTTTAATAAAACTGTGCCAGGCAGGTCAGGATTTCTAAATGTTTCTAATCCTCCTAAGAGTCTTTACCTGTTCTACCCTCCAGAGCTTGGCTGAGATTCAATGGATTTTTACAAACCTGTCATAGGACTCGTGGTCACAAATCAGCAGATGAGGTTAAAATATTGAGTGGAGGCTCCTGAGCTCATGAGGGACACGGGGGACGGGGCAGGGCTTGCCCTCCTCACCTTCATCTGGGTGCAGAGCTTTGGCCCACGAAGAAGGGGCTGCTGTCCTACATTTAATCAAACTGCAGAGCAGGTTTGGTCCTGAACCAGGTGACATTGGTGGCACTTGTGTGCTGGAGCGGGATCTGGGTTTAGGGGAACCTGATTTCCATGAGGGATGGCAGGAAGCCAGCAGTGCCAGCTCACAGGTGTGCCCACACTGGCTCATGGTTTTGATTCATCCCATTTGCAGGCAGCTTCCTAACTCCCAGAAGCACCAGTGTCCCAGCCAAAATCCCTCCTGTGCAGATCCTGCACATCCTCTGCACAACTCCTCAGGCCAGAGCTCTGAAACCAACCCCAGCCACAGAGGACTGAAGGGCAAATAAGGATTGATTTTCTCACTGTTAACCTCGGGCTGGGGAGGCTGGGGCAGGTGGGGATTATGTGCTCACCCCCTTCCAGCTCTGCCCACTCCAGCTCAGGCCCTGCAGCCTGCAGGGACCCTCCCTGCTCACACTGCTGACTGATTATGGGCACCAGGAAACGCATTACTACGGAAAATCTGTCCCATAGATGCACCTGGGTTGGGATCAAGAGGGAAAAGGTAAATTTTCCTACAGTTGCCAACTTCTTCCTCCTGTATCCCACTGCAGTTGGAATAAGCAGGAATTTTCTCACTACCCTTCAAGGACCAGTCTAATTTAGAATGAAAGAAGAAACTGGGAAGGTAATATTTTAATAAAAAGCTTCAAAAGCAGCAATGTTAATTTTGAAATTTTGAATCTGTACACAGAAAACTCCCCTTGAAGGTGTGAGATTTTGAGAGATTATTCCTTCACTGTTCATAAAAATTCATACTTCTTCATTCATCTGTGTGAAGAAATCAATTACTCTCAGGGCCACATACAGGCTTTGCTACCAACCTGAAAGTTCTAATGAACCTACAGCCTTGAGGGAACAGATTTCCTCTCCTTTCTAAGTGATGAGTCATGAGAGTTACAGGGCTCTCTAAAATTAGCTTTTTGAAAGACCACTTATAACACTAAAGAAAGTGTGATGGTTTGTGAGAGGGCCACCAGGATGTTTAGAGGGCTGGAGCACCTCTCCTGTGAGGACAGGGTGAAAAAATTGGGATTGTTCAGCCTGGAGAAGAGAAGCTTCAGGCTGAAATAATAGTGTCCTTCCAGTGACTGAAGGGAGCTGACTAAAAAGATGGAGAGAGACTATTTAGAAGGGCCTGGAGTGACAGGACAAGGGGGATCACTTCAAAGTGACAGAGAGTAGGTTTTGGTTAGACATTAGAAAAAAATTCTTCCCTGTGAGGGTGGGCAGGCCCTGGCACAGGTTGTCCAGAGAAGCTGTGGCTGCCCCTGGATCCCTGGGAGTGTCCAAGGCCAGGCTGGACGGGGCTTGGAGCAACCTGGGCTGGTGGAAGGTGTCCCTGCCCGTGGCAGAGGGTGGGACTGGATGACTTTTAGGGTCCCTCCCAACCCAAACCATCCTGTGATTCTTTGATATCCAGTCCAACCCTGCAGATCTTTCTCAGGCAGAACTCAGACTGTGCTCTAGGTCTTTTATTTTCCTTGCAGGGGCAAACTGTGATTCTCAGAAGGATTTAAGGCCCTTGATGCTGCAGCAGGTATTTTTAATTCTATGTGGGAAACCCTTGCTCACACTGAGGTCACCGGGAGGAGATCTGCCATCCACTTCAGGAGAAATGAGACCTGAGTTTCACATTGCCTACGCTGCAATTCCTACATCTGATACGGCAAATTTCTATTTACCGTGCCCAGAACCACATTTCAAACCCATATATGGCCACAGCTGCTTAAGAAGTTTAAACAATTTCGCTTTCTGTACATATATTATGACACTTGCAACTTTTTGGACTCTAATATGCCATTCCGAGAAGCCGCTGATAGGGATCTGCCGAGCTCCAGATGGATTGATTTAACGCGGCTCTGTGCTCGTCCTGCCGGGCTCGGGGGCTCCTCCCATCCCATTCTCCTCTGCCTCTCTCTTTTGGGGTGATCCTGCACCGCCATCTCACACCCCCATCCCACATCCCCCATCCCGCACCTGAGATCCCACCCCCCATATCCCGCGTGCCCATCCCTGGCTGCCAATCAGCATCACATCAACCCACACCCCATATCCCACTCCCCCATATCCCT